CATTACTCGATCCAGCGGGCGGGTCAATTTGTTCGTGCTGTATGTGAAGGATACCATTAACGGAAGTTGACTGGACTAGGCTGAAACAGCAAGAGGGTTCAGGTTGTGAATTTACATCCAAACGTGGTGTGTTGGAACTGGTCGGGCTGGCGCTATTAACACTTCTTTCATCTAGGCGGGTTTGAGAAACGGTGGTGACCTCAGGCTCTGTCCCAATGGAAGAAACAGACCTCGACGCCATCGCTGGCATTTGATTATCCACCTCATCAGTCCATGACATGGATTTTAAAGGCGGTAGGGAGCCAGGTGAAGAAGGTGCTTGCTTTTCTTCATGTGACGCAGCAATGGGACAAACCAGCAAGTATTTATTGGGCCCAGAAGATGGTATCCTTAAGAACGCGACGTTGGATCTGGCATTTTCCTTTCCCTTTTCCCGCGATTTTCCTACTTCGTTCGACATCTCTTTAACCAACGAAGAGGATTGGGCGCGGTGTGGTTCAGAAAAAGGCTTAACTATTATAAATAGGTATAGCGTGAACCTTCCCCAGACTCAAGTCCGTGAACCGATTGTCATCTTTCCCCAATGGGGCGGCAAGACCATCGACAAACTTTTCGTCTCAGTAAGTTCACAATAAACCCACCAGTAAATTATCATCAAGGACTAAAAAAAAGTAAAGGCATACCATTCTTAGTATTGGTACCGGACAATGGAGTGATAACGCAATTTGTTTTCCCGTGTTCGTTTACCTTGCGAGATTTGCCCTTGAAAGGGAACTCTTTATAGGGATATAGAGGCAAAGACGACCCGCTTGTAGCATCTGGGTTACGGAAGGGTAAAGGGGAAGAGATAGTAACAGTGGGAGTGGTTACAGGAGGAGTCGATTTATTATTGAAGAAACCGAAAATACTGCGGAGGAAAGCCATATTGACGTGGCGTTTCGAGAAGAGGCGGGAGCGGAAAGAAGGTTGGCTATTGTGGGGTGAAAGGTTGGGCTGCATCAAAATTCGAATCCTTTTTTCCCTTTTATATTTTGAGGAGAACAATGAGAGGAAATGTCCGAGTCCACCCAAACAAAGATGGGGAGTTTGCGCGGTGGCCACAATCAACATAATGGAACGTTCAAATAAAGTAAAGTCAGTATGTCCAAGGTCCTTGCCCTATGACTCAAGAACTCATTAGAACTAGAAAGAACCATGTAGCCAACTTGAGCCTTGGTGACTATCGATTCAGAATAACCCGGGGATGTGGTTCCACCCTAATTAAACCATGTTCTTCACAAAAATTGAAGTAGAAAGTCTATCTTAAAAAAATGTGTGTAAGGTTGTTTTTTATATGTCCGCTAGCATAATTAATTAATAATATCCTTTCAGTCGTTTTTGCGACTTGTATTGTAAAAGCTTTCCGGCGTCAAAAATAATCATCTGGTTAGATAATCATCCTTCGTCCCCTCGTTCGACGTTCGCCTCGACGAGCCCCACATTTTTTACGCTCCTTTATCCATTCAATATACATAATTGGGTTTATATTACACTATACCGCATTCATCTTTTAATGCTAGACACCACTTCAGTCACACCTCCGCGTGCCCCGAAACAGGGCAATTCGAACAGAACACATTTAACAAGATGGGAGAAAGAAAAGGCGGCTGCAGGCAGCGCCGACGCATTTGATCATCCTAATGATCCAAAATTCATTGGTCCATGGATCATAGGTGAGACGATTGGGAAAGGAGCTAGCGGTAATGTTTTATATTCAATATCCTATCGATTTGGATTTTGCTCATTGGAACAGGACGCGTCAAAATTGCCAGACATCGACTCACTGGAATGTTTGCGGCAGTGAAGATTCTTCCATATGGTCTTTGGAATATATCATCGTCTAAGAAAGCTGAGAAACATCGTGTAAGCGTCGAACGTGAAATCGTGCTGATGAAACTCATGGAACACCCTAACATTATGCGCCTATACGACGTCTGGGAAGGTAAAGGAAATCTGTCAGTATTTTATGAGCATTAAAAACCTGTGGACTTATATCCCAAAAAGTTATCTCATTTTGGAATGGATAGAGGGCGGCGAGCTTTTCGACCTCATCGTGGACCGCGGATGTCTGCCCCATGCACAAGCATTGACGTATTTCAAACAACTTATCTATGGCCTTTCTTACTGCCATGCTTTCTCTATAGCGCATAGAGATTTGAAACCTGAGAACATTCTTATTCATGGATCTAACAGTCACTATGTCAAAATCGCCGACTGGGGAATGGCAGCCTTTCAAACACCGTATGCGCATTTAGAGACCAGTTGCGGCTCCCCCCATTATGCAAGTCCTGAGGTCATTCGTGGTGAACAATACGATGGTGCTAAAGCAGATATTTGGAGTGTCGGGGTGGTCCTTTACGCGTTACTTGCCGGAAGACTTCCTTTCGACGATCCTGATGTTCCTCGTTTACTGGGTAAAGTCAGATCTGGTCGATTTGTGATTCCGAGTCGTATTCATGCTGATGTTGCTGATCTTATTCGACGTATGTTGGTAGTGGACCCTGAGGAAAGAATTTCTGTGCGCAAATAGGTTGGTGGAGGGTGCATATACTAATATTTTTCGTAGATGGCAGACATCTTGGAACATCCATTCTTAAAGCATGATACACCCGGAATTTATTACATCCCTCCTCCTTCCATATCGAACCTTGAACTGGCTCTTAAAACCGAGAAAGACATAGACCCTGATATCTTCATCAGCCTTCGTATTTTGTACGGAAAGCACGCCACAGGAGATGCTATTAGGAAGGATTTGTTTTCGCGAAAGCCTACTCGTGCTAAAGCTTTTTATTTTCTGCTTCTAAAATTTCGTGACAGGCGAAACGACGATTTAGACATTAATGATCTACAACTTGATCAGGGAAAAGACGACAATGACATTTTCGGTCCTCTGACCGACTTACGTCCGTACCAGCCTTCTCGTGCTCGGATATTTACGTTCCAAACTTTATCATCCCCCGCGCTGCCTTCGAGTTCGCAACAATGCCCTCCACGATACCACCACACACGAACCAAATCATCGCCCCCATACCATTCCTCGCCACCTTTCCTCCAATCACGACTTCCTGTTATGATTAATAGACACACGAAACCCTCCCAATATAAGGTTCAAGATATCTCGACTAAATCCAACGACCATTCTTCAGAAGCTACACTTGTTGCGAGCAGGGTCTTAGATTCGGCTGCTCCTACACATGCTACCAGAGTAGAAAAACGTGTTAAAAAAGAAAAACCAGTTACTTCATCTCAGCCAGACGATAACATTTCCGTCCGTCCCAGACCTCGAAGACGCGAGAGTGCTCCAGATCCACCCCGCACGGGCATCACTGTTGATTTCTCAAATCGCCATTCTCCCCAGCAGAAAACGACTGCCACGGCTACTCGAAGGATAGCAAACAAGAAAATATCTCAAGTCAGAGCCTTATCGGCATGTGAATCTTCTCTTCACGAACCGTTCGTGCCTCTCAAAGCTCCTCGTTTACGTCATCCTGAGGCGCAATTGGAAATGGAGGAATTAGTGAAACGTATGAATGCTCTCTGTCTCCGGGATGCTGAACGCACACGAAGACGAAACCAAGTTTCACCAGCCGAACACAGTCCTACCAATGAAACCCCCGACATTTCTGAAGGTAAATATCCCAAGGCTGGACGACAGGAGCGGATGTCAGATGAAAAGGAGAATGTCGCAGTGAAAGTTCTTGTTAATGAGTTTGGGAGGAGAGTCCCTAATTTATTTAGACGTGGATCCACTACAACTGGTACTTCAAACGACGACTCTAAACGCAGTCGCACAGATAGAAGTCTGATCAAAAGGCTTAAATGTAAGCATGCAACCAACGTTCTAATGTGGGTTTTATTGTGGTTAATACCGTATAGTCCCAGATTTTGAGAATAGTTGGATATCAGCAAACACAACTTCGGATGGCCCTATTAGTAGTGTTCATTCTGAGAGTTCCCCGACTCCGTCAAGTCCTTTGTTAACCCCCATTGTGCAAGAATTTAGAGGATGGTTTTCAAACTTTTTCAATTCGAGGCATCCGGTTTATAGGATTCATTCTTTTCTAAATTGTCTAGCGTCGAAGCATGAAGTTAAAAGATTGCTGAACAGACTGGGTACCAATGTTGCGGAGGATCTATTTAACGGGAACATTCTAAAGTGCAAACTAGACGATGACGCAGGTTGGTCTGAGGTCAATGTTTCCGTATAGATCGTTAAATGTGCCTCTTATAGAGAAAGTCGGATTCACTCTTCCAAGAAGATATATAAAATTTAGAGTCGAGTTTCATGCTCATAAACGACTGGGTGCTTCCGAATACTCGGTGAATACGAACGGTTATCGACTGTCAACTTCACGACAATCCGGATTTACGAGTACAATTACATTTATACCTGAGAAGGGCTCACTATCTTCTTTTAAAGCTGTGTGCGAGAAAATTCAAGACGAATGGAGGTTCGTGTCTTATTCTGAATATTCATTTTTTTGCTGACCGGGATTAAGATTTAATGTTCCTTCTATCGTTGACCCAGATGTTGAAATGGGAAGAGTGCGTTCAAATGATATCACTACGATGGAGGGTGAATGTGATTTTATGATTGTAGAACATTGAAAAGTGAAGGGAAAAAAACACGGACCGGCTAACTTTGTATTTTTTCGTACTGTTTTATTTCATTTTCGATTGACATTGCCATACATTATGTATTATTTTAAAGATGAACGATCACAAGTTTGATGGCTCTTTTTTCTCTTTCTCTTTCTTTTTTTTCAAAACATGTCAATTAATTGGAAAGGAAAACCTATAATTGAGGATAGATTCGGACCTCTTTCGTTTATCCGATAAAAAAAAGGCCATCACATTTTATATGCTATATTTGTTAAAAGAACAGGGTCACTAGAATTACTATCTGACGTTAAGAAGGCGATGCGCGACCTGGTCGAGTGTGTGAAAAGATCACAAAAAGTTACACACAGCGGGAGTCGAACCCACGCCGCTTGCTATAGCGCTAGTGAGCAGCTGGAAGGCAAGCATGATACCGTTTCACCATGTGTGTCGTTCAAGACAGGCCTCATACTATTGTATATATTTCGCATATTTTTATCTTGGCCCACCACTATGTAAGGGTTTTCAAAAGCATAAATCGTGTGTAGGACTTGATCGAGCTTGATCTATTATGCACAACAAATTAACAATAATTTTCTCATGGATTACAGTAAGAAAATGTCATTTGATGGGTTTGAGCTCAACCTTCACACACTGGGGTTCCCAGGGTATATAAGTCTAATGTAAATAGGATATGCGAATAAATGTTTAAAGACATTTTAAACAGTTTTAAATTTCAAGTATGATGCTCCCTATAAAAGTAATGTCTATTAAAACTCTTCTGTCACCTAAAAATACCCCTATAAAATAGTTTTCAACTAGAAGTACACCCAGCGTTTATAAGAGCCTGTTCGGTGCAGAGATACTGTGGAGATCTCCCTGCAAAGTGTGATCAGCTGATCGTGGAAAAATTATCGCCAAAATGTACTGTTTGGAAGCACAATTTCTTGATCATTGTTCACAATCAAGGTGAGATCTTTTCTAATTGTGTCAAATACAGGTCCGAGGGTATATTTGGTGATCGCAATCATGCCGGCCCATACTCTCCTACCCTAGTTTGCATGGCAAGTACATGGTAAAATTTCATATTTCTTTTCTACTGCGACATTCTCCTGTGCTAACAGTAATTTCTATGCCTCCAGACAAGCCTGATAAGGACAAGGAGACAAAGGACAAAGTCTCATGGACGGCAGCACAAGAAGCTACATTGGTTGCAGTCCTTCTGGAGCAAATGAAGCAAGGTAATCAAGCAGAATCTGGGTGGAAACCTATTGTCTGGACCATTGTCATTTCTGCTTTGGAGAAGGAACATCCGACCTCCATTCTGAAACAGGCTACTCATTGCAAGAGTCAGTAGCAAAGGGTATGTTTTTTCATCCATATTCCCTTTTTAAAATTATATTGGGCTGTGTTTATAGCTTAAAAGTGAATACAAACAAGTGAAGGAGTTGTGAGAGCAATCCGGATTTGGTTGGGATGCTGCCAAACAGACAGTAACTGCAGAACCCGAGGTATGGCAGGGCTATATTCAGGCAAGTTGCACACAAAGCTGTTATTTTATTACCATTGTTATGATTGTATTATTAGGCACATCCAAAACTCAGTAAATGGCAGACAAAATCTTTTCCCTTATTTGACGATATTGCTACTCTCATTGGTGATGTAGTCGCAACAGGTCAGCATGTCTTCCGTGTGAAGTCCACCAAACCTGACTCTCCGGAAAGTTCAGATGTTGATGAGGATAATAATGATCCATCTTTCTCAAATCTCAATTTTGGAGATGTATTTTTCAAATTTGGTAATAATAGTTACTCCAACTCTGACATATCTTTTTTGTAGATCCAGGCCAAAACACCAAAGAGATGAAGTTCCTCAATTATAGGATCGCAAAGTAGTCACAAACGTCAAACACGTGCAACTGGAGTTGAGGCTATCATGTCTGTTTCTGGAGCCGTTGAATCTCTGGCAGCTGCATTATCGTTACCTGATTCAAACAGCAGTATCTCTCAATTGGAACCATCTCCTCTTCGGCATGCCAAAGCTTTTCAAATTGCTGAGGACGAAGAAGGATTTTCTGAAAATGAGATGGTGGAGGTTGGAATATTATTTGAAAAGAGTACATCAGCTGCTGATATGTATATGGCCATGCGCAACAAAAAAACGTGCCAAATATGGCTCCGAAAAAGGTTGGAGAATTGATTCTGTTAACTATAGTCTATTTTTTTGATAAGTAGACTTGATACTGTGTCCACATTCCCTGAGCTATGTCCTCTCTTAATGCAGTGGCAAAAGTAGTTTCTTGTGCTGTAATATCGACAACCCTGTGATACTCTGAATGTTGGTCGGATCCCATGTATAATGAATTTTCTGTGTCTGTTTCAGGTATATCATTGGGATCATGAATACGAATAAAGTTGTGAAGTATGCAAATTGCATAGACCAAGTGTGACTGTATTTCAATGGGATATTCATTTGTCTCATGCATTATGCGGAAACATTTTTTGACAATCCCAAAAATCTGTTCGATCACATTTCGACACTGGGAATGCCGGAGGTTAAAAAGTTCCTTGTAATTTCATGGCCTCATTAATTATTTAGCATGAATCACAATGAGATAAAATCCCACACTCACCTTTTATTTGCCTTTTCCCACTCTCGTAAATGGTAGCGAACACCATGAAATGGTACTAACAAATCCCTGCACAAGGGAAACCCCGCATCTCCCAAAAAGAATTTGCCCTCAGCCAGTTGGAGGTCATGCTTGCATACATCCAGGAATATTGCACTATCTGATGCACTACCCTCCCAGCCAGCAAGCACATAGCAAAAGCACAAGTCAAATGTACAAGCTGCAAGTACATTCTGTGAAATGGTTCCTTTCTGATTTCGAAAGCGAGCATGTTGGTTTGCAGGTGGAGAGACAGCAATATGTGTGCCATCAATTGCACCCTGGCAATTTTTGAAAAATGGGTGGAATTTGGGGTTTTGAAAGAGCTCATCAGGAATTGCATCTGTTGACTCAGGAAGCTGGATGTATGCCTTGTACACTGCTAGTGTAGTCAAGGCCTCTAAAATGTAATGAAAATATCTATGTGGCAAACAAAGTTGGAAAAATTGAGAATCAGAGAGCATAAACTGACATACCTTGAGATGGTATCTCCACGCCTTTGGAAACACTCTGAGACTTTGCGATTTGAAGCATTTGTAACAACAGTATACAAAAAGATGGCCAGTTGTTCTTCAGGAGACATATACCGTGTTTGTGACAATCCCCCCTTGGCTTCCAAGACCTTAATCAGTCTCAAGAAGACATGTTTATGCATCCCTAAATTATTTTTCATTCGGTTAGAATTTCCATTCAATAATTCCATCACCCATTGATGACCAGATAAGCATGAATCATGCTGCCTCTTCTTGTGCATATGCTTCTGATAATAGGAGTTTACTGTCTCTAGAGCTAATAATCCAGTGAGGATTGCAGTTCGCCTTCGTGCTTGCCTTCTTTGATTGAGTTTTTCATTGGCAGACACACGCATGAGGGGTAAACACGGCAGAGGTTTACAAACACGTCTAGTCGTGTTTAGTTTTAAATTACACTGTCACACTTTCTCACTGGATGTAACAAAATCAAATTCTCAATACTGTTCGGTAAAAGATCTAGTACTCGGGCATGATCACGGTCATGCTAAAATCTGGAGGGTCCAGATTGTGTCCGTGACCGTGGTAGAGATAATTGTATCCCTGTGCCGAACGGGCTCTAAGAGTTTTTCTAGTTCAAATACACTATCGCTTAGAAAATCGCACTTTAGTTCAAGTAAACAATAAACATAAAGATCGTAAAATGGTTGAAATATTTATAAAAGGAATATTGGAAAGAGTAAATTATTTTATATAATGTGGTCTATTCGAACTATAAAAGGCTTTTATATGGATATAAACATCGAAACAATCCATTTCAGAGAAGTATAAAAGCCTTTAATAGTTCAAATAGACCATGTTATATAAAATAATTTACTCTTTCTAATATCCATTTATTTACTTTATATGTATTTAAATATTTCAATTATTTTACGATCTTTAGGTTTATTGTTTACCTGAACTAAAGTGTGATCTTCTAAGCGATAGTATATTTGAACTAGAAAAACTCTTATAAACGCCGGGTGTACTTCTAGTTGAAAACTATTATTTTTAAGCAACAGAAGAGTTTTAATAGACATTGATTTTTTTTATAGGGTGCATCATATTTGAAATTTAAAACTGTTTAAACTATCTTCAAATATTTATTCGCATATCCTATGTAGTGTACATTCATTCCTGTTTTCAATGCAGGCGAAAACTCCAATCACATGACCGCAAACTATTCTTTGGAAGCAGCAAGATGATTGGATCGCTTAAAAATGAATGACATAATAAGCTGGAAGCTCTATTCAGTTTTTCATGAAGAAGGTATTGCGAGAGGAGTCAATTGAGGTCGATGCATTTGATGACCACGCGTATCTCCCCTATCGACTTTTCGCATTTAAGGCATATTCCCCTTTACCCCAAGTTTTCATAATATGTCGCTTTTCAGCCTTCCAATTTTCGTTCTTGCGTTGTTTTCGTTGGCTTTCAACGCAGGAGATAGAAAGGTTCAGTCGTCAGCCCCTCGTACGTAATTTCCTTTGGTAAGAAGCAGGAACTATTTTTTTATTCTCAACATGAAAGGTTCATGGTCCGAATCTCGATCGTTAGCTCAAGAGCTCGTGGCTAATTTATCAACTTCGGAGAAAGTAGGTATTCTAACAGGACAAGGAATTTTCTCTTCTCGTTGTACAGGAGGAACATACGCCGTCAATCGTTCCTTGCCAAATGCACCAAATGGCTTCCCGAGCCTTTGCATGAATGATGGTCCTGCAGGTATTCGCGGAGTGGACTTGGTTACAGGCTTCCCGGGTGGTCTCAACGCAGCTAGCACGTAAGTCCATATTATTTACAAAGAACAACTTTCGTTGACTCTTCTCTCCTAGATTTAGTAGACGTTTGATGCAAGCCCGTGGACAAGCACTTGCAGAAGAAGCTCATGGAAAAGGGATCAAGTGCGTAAATCAACCTTTTGCGAAATAAATCAGAATAATGGCTTTATCAGTATTATCTTAGCTCCCCAAGTCGATTTAATGCGTTCACCCAAAGCCGGTCGCGTTTGGGAATCATTTGGACCTGATCCCTGGCTGAGCGGCGAAGCAGCATATACAACAATTTCGGGCATCCAATCAGTTGGAGTTGTAAGTATACATGGAATCTAATAGACGACAAATTCAATTTGTTTTAATTAGCAAGCTTGTGCTAAACACTTTTTGGGCTACATTCAAGAACTTTGGCGCTACACCTATTCAGTCCATATCGATGATCGGACAATCCATGAAATGTACCTTTGGCCATTTATGAGGGCAATAGAGGTTATTTTAGGCCTTT